AATGAGGTGGTCTCAAAAGTCGCAGTTACAACACACATAGGGCGCACCGCACCATAGGGCGCACCGCACCATAGGGCGCACCGCACATTTTGAGGGGAAAAAAAGACGTTTAAGTGCGCCTTATAGCCGTGAAAATACGGTATGCACACAATCTTAAACCAAAAGTTTAAGCTTGGTCAACATGTAAAAAAAAAAAAAAGTGTCATTATCAAGTATCATCTCTGTGATTTTTTTGGCCTGTATACTGTTACATGGAAAAATTTCACTTCTTTCCTTTGCTTCCGAAGAAGTTAGCTGCTTCCCGCTGCTTCCTTTTTGTCTGCCGAGTCCGATAATCACAGCATCTTCCTTGTTATGACACTTCTGGAGGTGTTTCATTAAGCTGGTGGTGTTATAATTTGAAGATTTAACCCTCGGAACATTTCTCCCACAAATATTGCAAATATTACTAGCCATTGGGCTAGTAGGCTGAGAGAGCGTGAAAAAACCTCAACACCGCAGATCCTTTCGCTCGCTCCATCATAAACAATATGGCCATTGTGTTGTTGCAGTGCCGCATGATGGCAGAGCAGAGCATAGAGTTAGAATGAATAGATCGGCTTGTCACCGATACCAATCTAGTTTCCCCCCCCTTATATTTAGACTGATACACATATCGGATTGGTGCATCCCTACCATTTACACTGAAAAGAAAGCTAAATGAGACAGAGGATGACAGTGACCCTAAGCTACACTGCTGAGGTGTGAAGCCCAGAGGAGCTCCAAGGAACAATAAAACAAACCAGATATTTTCTCTGGTTAAATTCTACATACTACACTGGATGCAGAGACGCAATCTGTTGCTTATTTCTGTAAGTTTAATTTTAAATCGTTGCGATTTTATTACCCAAGATAATAAATGCATTCCAATAACTGATCCAATGTATGCATTTGTTAATATACCCATGTATATATAAAAATATCAGGGATGCAACTAATGATTATTTTGCAAATTGATTAATAATCAAAAGAACTAAATGCAAAATGTGTTTTTTTTTATCTTAAATGCAAAATGTGTTTTTTTTATCTTAAATGCAAAATGTTTTTTTTTTTTATCTTAAATGCAAAATGTGTTTTATTTTTATCTTAAATGCAAAATGTGTTTTTTTTTTATCTTAAATGCAAAATGTGTTTTATTT